CCACTGCAGCGAATTATCAAACCCAAGAGAGAGGTGGTGGGTGCTTTGGGAGGAACGGTTGGTGAAAGGGCTGGAGGGAGGCAGCATGTCTGGCCTAGCAGGAATAGGCCTTGGGTTACTGCTGGTAATCCTGTCTTCCTCTGGCACAGTTAGAGGAGGTCAGAATATGTGGCCTCCTTGTCGTTTTTGCAGATATCAAAAAACAAATTTGAGCAGTTTTTCTAGGATATTCAAGAAAATCATTATGTAGATTAGGAAACTATGGTGAGGGAAATTACTAGACATTGCTAAGATCATACAGACATGGAAAACTCATCAAATCCATCATGCTTTCCTACTTTTAATTGTCATATATGTATATATTTACTTATATATATTCACATATGTCTAGGCATATACTTAAGGAATTTTATCATTAAACTCGATATATGAAGATGTGAATTTATGTAAAACTAAAATAGGGTTATTAGTTTAACAAAGAATACTGCCATTAGCAAATGATTCCATTAACCAAGCTTGCCTAAGACAGACTGTATCAATCAACTCAAAATTTCAATTCATACAGTATGTTTGTCTATTGCACAACTCCAAGTACCCCCATAGCATTTTTATAGTAAGAAAGGACAGGCAATATCAGAATAATCATGTTTATCAGCAGAGAAACAATATGACATAAAGATAAAGCACAGAGTTTAGAGTTAGACAGCTAGCTTTAAGTCATATTTCTATTGCCCATTGCATAAAGGATCTTAGGCAAATTACTTAACAACTCTGAATCATATTTTCCTCATACTATATCATAGAAAGCTCTACTCTATCCATCACTAAGGTAGACTCTACTTTGAGGAGGCAATTCTTCCTAAGTCATATTTGGCATGCCTTCCAACCTCAGGAGAGAGAGGGATATGATTGCTCTAGTCATATGAATCTTGCCTGAAAGCAAAGAATAGCAGAAAAATGTTTACCTATTTTAACAACTATGCAAAAACATTTGACTGTGTGGATCATAACAAATCAAAGATAACACTGGAAAGAATGGGAGTTCCAGAATACTTAATTGTGATCATGTAGAATTTGTACATAGTCCAAGAGGTAGTGAGTCATTCACACAGAACAAGAGGATACTACATGGCTGAAAATCAGCAAAGGTGTGCATCAGGGTTGTATTCTTTCACTATACTTATTTAATCTGTATGTTGAGCAAATAATCCAAGAAGCTGAGCTATATGAAGAAGAATGCGGCATCAAGTTTGGAATATAACTCATTAACAACTTGCCATATGCAAATAACACAACCTTGCTGGCTGGAAATAAAGAGGATTTCATGCACTCACTGATTAATATCAAGGACTATAGCCTTCAGTATAGATTACATTAACTTAGAGAAAACAAAAATTTTCACAACTGGACCAACGAACAACATCATGATTAACAGACAAAATACTGAAGTTGTCAAGGATTTCATTTGAATTCACAATCAACATCTATGGAAGCAGCAGTCAAGAAATCCAAGGATGTACTGCACTGGACAAATGTGATGCAAAAGACTTCTTTAAACTATTAAAAAGAGAAGATGTCACCTTAAGGATTAAGGTGCAGCTGATCCAAGCCACAGTGTTTTCAATAGCCTCATATGCATGCAGAAGCTGGACAATGAATAATGAAGACCAAACAATAATTTATGTATTTGAATTATGGTACTGGTGAATAATACTAAATATATATCATGGACTGTCAGAAGAAGAAGAAACAATTATGTCTTGGATGAAGTACAGCCAGAATGCTTAGAAGCAAGATGTCAAGACCTGGCCTCCCATACTTTGGACATGTTACCAGCACGGATTAGTCCCTGGAAAAGGACATCATGCCTGATAAAGTAGAGAGGGTTGGTGAAAAAGAGAAAGTCCTTCAACAAGATGGACTGACACAGTGGCTTAACCATAGCAAAGACTGTGAAGATGGTGCAGGACCAAGCAGAGTTTCATTCTTTTATGTAGGGTTGCTGAGCTGGAAGTGACGGGATGGCACCTAACAATAACAACTTTTCACAGAGTTGTAAGGATTCAATGAGTTAACAATTGTAAAAATGCTTAATGTGAGCCATGTATTCAAAAAATAATAACTGAAATGAGGGACCTACATGTATCAATGAACACGTGATAGCATAAGATCTATGCTTTATACTACCTTTCCAAAAGAAACTGCCTCGAATAAGATATTTATTACATCACAGTAAGTCATTTTTCTGGTATCTAAACTAACTGCATGGGAGCTCTGGTGGCATAGTGCCTAAGGCATTTGACTGCTAACCAGAAGGCTGGCGGTTCAAACCCACCAGCCACTCCTGGTGGGAGGTATGTAGAAGGTTGGGCAATCTACTTCCATAGTGATACTGCCGCGGAAACCCAAGGAGGGGTCACTATGAGTCGAAATCGACTCAACGGCAGTGAGTTTGGTTTTGGTTTGGAAACTAACTGCATATGGTAAATTGTTGTTGTTGATGTCCTGTGTCATTCAGTAGATTCTGACTCATGATGACCACATGTGTTACACACAGTAGAATTACTTCGTAAGATTCGTGCAGTGGTTAAGCGCTTGGCTAGTAACCAAAAGGTCTGTGGTTTGAAACCACCATCTGCTCCACAGGAGAAATATGTGGTAGTATGCTTAGGTAAAAGATTATAGCTTTAGAAACTCTATGGGGCAGTTTTACTCGGTTCAATAGGGTCACTGTAAGTTGTAATCAACTCGACAATAATGAGTCGCTAGGCCTTTTCTTCTGCGGTGCTGCCAGGTGCCACGTGAGTTTAAATTGCCCAACTTTTGGTTATCAGCTGAGTACAAATTGTTTGCACCACCTAGGGACCTTAGATGGTAAATTAGGAACTAGAAACATTAAAACAGCCACATTAACCTCATCCAGAAAAGATATCACAACAACTCTATCCAGATAAGATACCATGTGTATGTGTACTGATACAGTACTTTATAATGATGGTCTAGAGTTTACACGTTCTGGGACCAGCGGAAGGTGGGTCTTTGCATGCTTGGAGCCACCCCCAGGCAGAGGCCATAGTAAACCAGCTCCAGGACCAGCGGAAGGTAGGTGTTTGCCTGGGGGCAAGCCGGGTAAGGGACCAGGGTGGAGGAGATCAGGAAATGAGCAGAGCAGTTAAGAACAGCTAGGGGAGACAAACTTATATTCCAGTTTGTCCTCCTGTGGTGGCTTGGGTGTAGCTGTGAGGCTGGAGG